CTGTTAATTATAGGGACCCCTCCCCATATCTGTAACTGGCTCTGTTAATTATAGGGACCCCTCCCCATATCTGTAATTGATTCTGTTAATTATGGGGACCCCTCCCCCGGCAAAAATTTTAAGTAAGTTTATAGATCTCGTTTTATTTCGAAAATGACAACATAAAAAAATAAGAAACAAGACTCATTCAAGATGACGTCAGAGCTCATTGAAAATAGAAAGTTAAAACATTCTTATTTTAACATAGCTTGTAATATTATCTTGACGTCACGGAACAAAATGCGTGAGCAAATGTATAAAGAAACAAAATTTAGGTAAAAGTGTCTTGAGTGTTTCGCAGATCCTTGACGCCTTGAAAGTTGCGTGTTGCAAGACTGTAGTGTTGGGCAGAAAAGTAGCACGTAATACTATACGTCAGTCCAATTGGCAGAACACCGAAACCTTATTATTACTTTGGTGGTTGTGTAATGCCCACGTAAGATGGTTGGTTGTTGCTACCAATAAGCTTCTGCTGAAAAGTAATTACAATAATTACCTAGTATTTAGTATCGTTTTCCGTTAAGAATGCGAGCTGCTTTAGACGTCATATTTACTGTTTTTACAAAAAACAACAACAACATTCACTTTAAAACGTCCTGTTCGACAGTTGAATAAGAGTGTGTGCTTGTGTCTGATTTACGTTCTTATTATTCGTCAATTAAAGGTTACGAAAGTTTTTCATTTTCGTTATCTTTCAATTTTTTTTCAACGTTTTTTTTTATATAATCTGTATAAAGTTTCTAAGTTTGTTTGTTTTTAAGCGCCCAATTGAACAATGGACCACCCGCGTTGTGCCTACTGCATGGATCGAACTCCGGACTTTATAGAGCTATCCTTCGCAGATGGGCTTAGTGTTTAGGTGTCATTTCGCTTACAAAAAGGGGAAGTTGGAACCGATTAGTGATGAGACATGTAAATATTCCAAACCTGATTTTTTTTTGTGATAAAAGATTTGCGTAAATCACTTTTGTCCTTATTTGGCCAGGGTCCCTAATTGTTTTGTTTAATGTCCTTATTTGGCCAGGGTCCCTAATTGTTTTGTTTAGTGTCCTTATTTGGCCAGGGTCCCTAATTGTTTTGTTTATACTACTAGGGTTAGATTCAGAACTGCATGCGATTATTTTATCCGTTTAACAAATCTACCCTTCATTCTTGTAGATCGTTTGAAATTTTGTGAACTATTATTTTAATCAGATTTATATTCCAGAAGCTTCGGTTTAACGGTTAGACCAAAGAACTGGGTTTCTGGGTTTGACAATGTAGACCAATGAACTGGGTTTGACAGTTTAGACCAATGAACTGGGTTTGACAGTCTAGACCAATGAACTGGGTTTGACAGTTTAGACCAATGAACTAGGTTTGACAGCTGAGACCAATGAACTGGGTTTGACAGTTTAGACCAATGAACTGGGTTTGACAGTTTAGACCAAAGAACTGGGTTTGACAGTTTAGACCAATGAACTAGGTTTGACAGTTTAGACCAATGAACTGGGTTTGACAGTTTTAGACCAAAGAACTGGGTTTGACAGTTTAGACCAAAGAACTGGGTTTGACAATGTAGACCAATGAACTGGGTTTGACAGTTTAGACCAAAGAACTGGGTTTGACAGTTTTAGACCAAAGAACTGGGTTTGACAGTTTTAGACCAAAGAACTGGGTTTGACAGTTTTAGACCAAAGAACTGGGTTTGACAGTTTTAGACCAAAGAACTGGGTTTGACAGTTTTACGGGTTTGACAGTTTAGACTAAAGAACTGGGTTTGACAGTTTAGACCAAAGAACTGGGTTTGACAGTTTAGACCAAAGAAAACTGGGCTTGATTAGTATTTCTGAGAAATGTACCCAAACTAGAGGGCACTCAGTAGAACACACAACTACGCTACGCAACGTTGATTATATTCGGCTCTCAAAGAATACAAAAATGTGTCTGTATGTCCGTAGTTATCCACGGACACGGATCATTTTTGAAAGGACAATGAGAAATAATATTCTTCATCAAAATCTGATTATTTTTGACTGAGTTATAGAGCACAAATAGTGTGAATAATCGGTCCCCATGATTGTTTTGGATTTCCGTGGCCTTGATGTGACCTTGACCCTTCAAAAACTAACCACTTCTAAGTTGGGGCATAAACCAGATGTGTACAAACATTCGTCCAAATCCATATAGCCGTTTTAGAGAAATCTTTCTGACAAACAAACAAACAAACACACACACACACACACACACACACACACACACACACCGGGATGAAAATATAACCTCTGGTGGAGGAGGTCAAAAACGAGAACCTCATTTGACTTATGCGCCATATGTTAGACGTTGTATTATATCAATCGCTGAACTGTATGGTACAAAAATATATTAGAGACGTTACGGTTTTTTTTTATAGCGACAAGTGGCAGTATCCATTTTAATCTTTATTAAATATTACATTCCGAAAATGGCGATTATCATACTGGTATCAAGTTTGTTTTACATTTACAATATTACTGAATTTTACATTGTGTCCTCACGTTTCTGGTCCTTTTGTTTCACATTTACGATATTACTGAATTTTACATTGTGTCTCACGTTTCTGGTCCTTTTGTTTCACATTTACGATATTACTGAATTTTACATTGAAATAATTTTGATTTCATCTCTTTACGAGAAACGCATAATTGTTAGAATATCGGGGTTCTGTGAGTGACCAGAATATGATGGCGATCTTGGCCTTACTTGTCCAGCCCACAAATCGACTCCAATTTCTATCCCCTCTATTTAACATCTTATTGTATGCATGAACAGTCGCGAATTTTACGAATGCGAAACGTCCAGAATAAGGTTATTCATAGAAGATACACCATTGTAGCCAACTATATGAAGTGGTAATTTGTCAAAAGACTTCTACGCCTTGTTTGTTGACCTGACAAGCTAGGAATTCTTTGTCTGTTAGCCTGTCTCGCTAAGCTGTGGATTCTGAACGGGGAGAAATAGTTTCGAACTGAAAAAGAATTATTCTAATCCGGAACGGCTCAGCTTTTCTTCTTAGTCTGAATGGAGGGAGCCATACGGTCTGGAGGACAAACGCCGCCATATTGGTCGAAAAAGAACCCTCTCCAGCAGGCATCTACAAAAGACGCTATTTCATCTTCACGTTTCTATCAATCAACGTATGCCACACCTTTATGAGATCTTTTTGTATGGCGTCACGTACATAATTTGTCTCCATACCATAGGTGACACGTCCATCTCGTCACTGTCGTCCCGAATATGTCATTGCACCTCTGCGCCACCTACACAAAAATGCATGACTTTATTTTTTTTTTATGACCACCAGATTACGAGCTACCGCCCATCATAATAATTACACACAGCAATTTTTAAGTAATACCCCCCGCCCTACGCGTCACGTGCCGTCCAAGGTGAGTTTCTTTTTGTTCATGTGTACACCTGCTCAACGGTTAATAAAAATATCAAGAGTTTTAACTCTTAAATACGATGTTACTTATTCGTAACTTTCTAAAAACACCCACTCATTAGAAGATGCTTCATTCTCATTACTTCTTTTTAAAGTCAAAGAGCTGTAGCGGATTTTTTTTTAAAAAAAGTGTATATATTATACATCGTCACAACACAAGAGTACAATCACGCAAGATCAAAAATCAGATAAATCACAAAACAAGAAACCTGATAACTCTCCGAAGATGGTATTTTGGTTAATTTTGCTCACGTGCTTTATTGCAAAGCTGCACAGTGGACTATCTGTAATCTGACAACGGTGGTAGATCGAACCCCGGATGTTATCGTTGTAAATCCATAAACTAACCAATGACACACCCGGGTACCTAAAGAAGTAAGTTCTAACTAGGGTTATCAGCACAAGCACCTCTAATCCACGTGACTAAAGGGAGAAGGGATAGGTTCCCTCACCCCATTTGATTATAGGGTGCCATTTGGTGTTTTTAATGCTTGATAAAGTTTCAGTAATTCCCTATTGCGAACATTTCAATATATCCTGAAATACCTGCTTAATCTTGTTGGTTTTCAAATTACAAAAACGGTAACTCGGCTGAGATAAAACGGCAAAAATTTTGTTTCTGAGTTTTAAAAGAACGAAACGAATTTTTCTTGCTACAAAGTCAGATGCTCATGGTTATCGGGTTTTGTTTTATTTTTATTTTTTTGTGGTTTTTCGAAGACACGGAAATTATTCTACCATTAATTCGGTGAATTATTATAACTGTCTGTAAATTATGGGGACCCCTCCCCATATCTGTAACTGGCTCTGTTAATTATAGGGACCCCTCCCCATATCTGTAACTTGCTCTGTTAATTATAGGGACCCCTCCCCATATCTGTAATTGATTCTGTTAATTATGGGGACCCCTCCCCCGGCAAAAATTTTCAGTAAGTTTATAGATCTAAAAACTAATACGAGTAAAGATTATTTTAAGTTTTGAATCTCTAAGAAATTTAATGTGTTATTACTGAAGTGCTTTAAATTGCTAATCGTGGGGACCCTTCTCCAGATAAAAATTTTCAGTAAGTTTATAGATCTAAAAAACTAATATGAGTAAAAATTCTTATACGTTTTGAATCTTTAAAAAAATTATGGTGTTGTTATTACTGAGCGGCCCCCCAGTGGCATGTCTGCGGACTAACAATGCTAGAATATGGGTTTCGATACCCGTGGTGAGCAGAGCACAGATAGTCCATTGTGTTGCTTTGTGCTTAACTTCAAACAAACAATTACTGAGCGATTTCAATTGTTAATTGACTAGGTATAAATTACTCTCTGTAAGGCTGTCTCTCGTGACAGTTATTTATCAATATGAAACTGTGAAACGTTATACAACGAACTTGTTGAGCAGACAGACATTCCATGAGTGTAACAGATTCGGAATTATCGAGCTCGGCGTAACTTTCTTTGGTAATCATGGTCAGTTTCTCACTGTGAATATATCGTTGGTTTCCAGGTGCAACGAAAACGTCGCATCGTGGCACGAACCAAGTGCAAAAACATCAAGAATAGTTGTCCGAAACTAACTTGTGACGAGCCAGTTCTTCTTCCGGAGAGATGTTGCAAGTCGTGTCCAGGAGAAGGTAAGTGATTGAGAAAAAAAACACTTCACTTTCCAGATAATAATAGAAACACTTATTGCGGCTTCATCAGGGCTAACAGTACAAGAGGTAGCCAATGTTTCGCTACTGCGGTTTCACCAGGGCTAATAGTACAAGAGCTAGCCAATGTTTGGGCACTGCGGCTTTATTGGAGCTAATAGTAAAAGAACTAGACAACGTTTCGCTACTGCAGCTTCATCAGGGCTAATAGTACAAGAGCTAGCCAACGTTTGGGCACTGCAGCTTCATCAGGGCTAATAGTACAAGAGCTAGCCAACGTTTCGCCACTGCGGCTTCATCAGGACTAATAGTACAAGAGCTAGCCAACGTTTCGCCACTGCGGCTTCATCAGGGCTAACTCTTTTTTTTTTTTCTAACTCTATTGTTAAAATGTCTAAATCACTCCAGTATGCATTATAAGTTCGGGAAAACAACAATATATGGCCCCGAGGTCCTGCAGCCTAACAACAAGAGTTTCCACCAGTTAGTTCCTTTCCTTCCAGTTCTAGAACGTTCAAGAACATATCGAAAGCTAATCAGTTTAACATTCGGTTGTAAAAAAATTATCAACGGGTAGCGACTAACAAGAACTTTATCAAAAGCCGTGGTGAGCACAGCACAAATAGCCCAGTGTGCTTAACTGATCAAAAGCCGTGGTGAGCACAGCACAAGTAGCCCAGTGTGCTTAACTGATCAAAAGCCGTGGTGAGCACAGCACAAATAGCCCAGTGTGCTTAACTGATCAAAAGCCTTGGTGAGCACAGCACATAGCCCAGTGTGCTTAAGAACAACTAAGCGAAATGATCAAAAGCCATGGTGAACAGAGCAAAGCACAAATAGCCCAGTGTGCTTAACTGATCAAAAGCCCCAAGTTCAATAAATAGATCAGAACCATAACGTTCTAAAAGTTTTAAAAATGAAGACAGATCCCGTATAACTACCTAACTGTTGTCATTTGATACACGAGGAAACGGAAACCAATAATGACCAGAATGCATTGCGTCATCTGATGAGAACTGTCTTTGTTTTAACAACGACTCTCCAGTGGTAATCTGTATTACAGAATAATTAGCTTATCGATAAATTTTAATAATTTAATTCGTGCTTTGCAGGAATTTTCGAAAAAACAACAACAAAAACTCCATGTGCTTGTTTGGTGAATTTCGCGCGAACTACTTGAGGGCTTAATTTTGAAGTGATATACGAGGAGAGGAAAGGCAGCTAGCTACTCAACACCACCAACCGCCAACTCTTGAACTACTCTCTTACCAGCGATTACCGTCATTGGCAGTCACGTTTTAACGCCCACACCGCTGTTTGTTTGTTTTTAATTATGCACAAAGCTGCACAAGGGCTATCTGTGCTCTGCCAACCACGGGTATCGAAACCCGGTTTCTAGCACTGTAAGTCCGCAGACATACCGCTGTGCCACTGGGGGGGGGGCACACCGCTGAAAGGGCGAGAATGTTCCGTCACCGAATTCGAGCCCTCAACCTTCAGGTTGCGAGTCGAGTGCCCTGTCATGCGAGGTCATGTCAAACTTCACTTCTTAATCTCAGTTTCTCGGTCCGTTAAAAAAATGAATGAGTAGAATAGAGCGTGAAACATCACAACAATATAATTAATTGTAGGACTCCGTGTGTTGTAACTGAATTCACGTAGATAAAAAAGAAGAAAGGCTTAGTGTCAAGTATGTCGGGTATATCAATAAGGGTATTGTTAGTTCACTTTTATGTTTTTTTTGGTAAGGAGTTGATTGTTTAGTAAACTGTGATTAGACTATTCTTCATTCTTCAATTCTCTTACGTTTGTCTTTATCAGGTCTGTTGTTTTTCTGTGCTTGGATATTTATGTCGAGTAGCAACTTCTATACTAACGAGCTGCTTATTACGACCGCGTAGACTCGACATCAACAGAGTCATTGTTGTTGAGCTGTTCCGTAAACAAAAAGTGGTCACTGTTCGCTTATTGTTAAAAGTGGGTTGACCGGAAGCTTTGAAACAAAACAATGTTCTTTTATTTCTGGGTTTGTACTGAAAACAAAACAAAACAAAAAGTTTGAATGAAGAAAAACGTGTTGTTCTTTTTCAATTAACATTGTGTCTTGAGTTTCAGGACACTTTAAAAGTGTCTAACGCTTATTTTTGTCGTCCAGGACAAAACAAACGTGTGGAATTTGCGTTCAGTGTTTATATGTTGCAGAAGGATTTCTTTCCCCAGCAATCTGAGGGTCGCGGGTTCGAATCCCCGTCCAACTAAACATACTCGCCCTTTCAGCCGTGGGGGCGCTATAATGTGACGGTCAATCTCACCATTTATTGGTAAATGACTAGCCCAAGAATTGGCTGTGGGTGGTGAGGACTAGCTGCCTTCTCTTCTAGTCTTTCACTACTAAATTAGGGACGGCTAGCGCAGATAGCCCTCGTGTAGCTTTGCGCGAGGGCTCAAAACAAACCAAAATCCCCTCCCCCCCAAATTGGGAAGATTCGTATTTTAATTATTATTAGTTTATGACCCCTTTTAGTAATTTTAGTAATTATGTATTTTCCTTTTGACTCAATTACCCCTCTCCCTCGCCAACCACACACACACACACGCACTTTTACTGGAGTAAGAAACTGTCCTTAAGTGTTAAAATCATCACAGTGATGTTGTACTATGAAAAGATGGAGGGAGAAAATAAGTTTGACATCGTTAAAGGTCTAGAAAACTTGAGTGCTGCCCAGTGGCTAGCGTGGCGGACCAGACTGTGGGTCCGGCGTTCCATGGTTCGAACCCCATTACCGCCAAAAAAATATATACAAAAATCACACTCTGCGCTTTGGGTCTAACTCTTGGGTTAACTCTAATCGAATAGTGGGATTTGATCGTCACACCTATAACGCATACACAGTTTGCCGAAAAGGGACGCTATCAGAGAAACCCTTAGATTCGCACACCCGGTTCACCTAGTTTAAGAGACATATATTAGTCACCCGAGCAAGGTGCTTATGCTACTAACTGAATAATCAAAAGAACGTATTTTCCGGAAAAATTCACCGTTAGCAAACAGCATTGATTAGACACCGAGGAAAGTCTCTTCTGAAAGTTCAAATGAATTGTCTTATAAAATCACGTTTAAAAGCTCGTATAATCATTAATTTCGGAAATGTGTATGTATGTATCTTTATGTATGTTTTTATTATTTAATTAATCGATAAGTTAAGCCTAACACTGTTTTCGAGTCACTCCTATTCACTGTTTCCAAAATGCCCCCCCCCCCCCGAGTGGCACAGCGGTACGTCTGTGGACTTACAACGCTAGAATCCGGGTTTCGATACCCCTGGTGGGCAGAGCTCAGATAGCCCATTGTGTAGCTTTGTGCTTGATTTAATTACAAACAAATTAACAAACACAAAATAGCGTATCAAATAATTTCGTGGCAGGAATTTAGGTTTAAAAATCTTTCAAGCCTCAATAAAAGATTTTTTTGGGCCTGAGAGACAACCCGGGGTGGTTAGAAACTTTTTGCTTCTCTTCACCCTGCGCGGTGAAAAGTTTAATACCGATCTCAGCTCAAAAAAAAGGAACCATCAAATCAAATTCTTGGCATAAATGGCGTATGCACCCGTGTACTTATATATGAGAGTTCCCACATCGCGCCCCCTATAAACTTTCTAATAAACTATTTAATGAGAATGTGTAATATGCGGTAATTTGTAACATTAAGCCTCGTATTTCGTATACAAAACAGCGTTAAGCGAGATGCGCGTGATGACTTTTAAACCCTGAGGCCATTGTTCGGAATTCTAAAATGACTTGTAGATAATACACTTGTTTTAAGAATCATAACGCAGGTAAAATTAATTCTACCGAACGATACAGAATTTTTTATCATCGTAGAAACCCGTCTCAGGTGAGACTGCTGAAAGCTCCCAAATATAAGCGTTTTAACGTAGAGAAAAGTCCACGCACAATTCTTTGTTTGTTTGAAGTTAAGTACAAAGCTACACAATGGGCTATCTGTGCTCTGCGCACCACGGGTATCGAAACCCGGTTTCTAGCGTTGTAAGTCGGCAGATATGCCTTTGTGGCAATTGGGGGACGGTGGGGGGGGGCATATAATTCTACAGAATTATAAATTTATTAGTCGAACTGCCACCTCAGAATCATTAAAATCGGTGTTTTTGTCTCGTGTTAAGTGCTCAATACGAGCGGGATACCTTTGGAATTTTTTTTAATCAAAATTATATGTTATAATTATCAGTTTGTTTTAAACCTTGCGAGATGATTAGTCGGTGTTATGTGAGAACTGGTGAAAATTTCTTAACTATAGCTCGTGATATTGGCTTATGACGACTGTAACCACAAGACGATAGTTCTCACCATGAAATCACCTGTGACGACGGTTTTATCGACAAGATTTGTAACGATGATCTAACCAGAAACATTAAATACCGTATAAACATAATTACACCTGATAAGGTCCTGTGTTAGCCACCCCCCTGCACGTGACTCCTGTTTTGTGATCTGCGTGTAAACACGCGCTATTTTACATTTAGAGCAGCGACATCTGTTGTGACAAAGTGCGCAGGTTTCTGAGATTCATGAATATGGTTTTAACTATAAATTCGACGACGAATATCGCATTGGTTGTTAGACCACACACAAAAAAAAAATCGCTCAGTTCAAACGATGTTATAGCTGGGACGTTTCACATAACCTCCGTATGTAAGTCAGCTGGGTTGAGGTTATTAAGAATGTAATAACTGATCACAAAATATTCAACTTATCAAACTGATCTTGACTCCTCTCTTAACTATTTCCTTTGGGAATTCCCAAACTTTCGCAACTCCCTCCCTAAAGGTATCCAGACAGTTCTGGGGGACCCATGTTCAATTGGAAGTTAGTGTTGGCTCAATATAGTTCATTAAAGTCTAGTAGTGATCTTGTATTTTAC